TTCCTTTGACACAGTATTCTCCAGCTCCAACAGCTTTTCTACAAATGATGTCATTTTATTCTTCTTTATGACTGAATAAAACTCCATGTGTATCTATACACCACATTTTCTTTATTCGTCTTTTGTCTGATACCTAAGCTGGTTCCATATTTGGCTACTATGAATTGTGCTGTTATAAACATGGGAGCGTGGGCTGAGATTGTGGCTTAGCGGTAGAGCGCTCGCCTAGCACATGGGAGGCACTGGGTTTGATCCTAAGCACCACATAAAAAATAAAAAAATAAATAAAATAAAGGTATTGTGTCCATCTACAACTTGAAAACAATTTTTTTTTGATTTTTAAAAGATAAACATGAGAGTGTATGTATCTCTAAACCATGCTGACTTTAATTATATTGGATAGATACTAAGGAGTGAGATAGCTGATTATTTGCTTGAATTATCAGAGAACTACCAAGGCAGCAACAACAGATCTAGAAAGTAGAAAGCCCACAGAGATGGGCCAGACGCCTCCGAACAGCCTTTTTTTTTTTTGAGACCTGTTCCATTTAGAGAGCAACAACTGAGAGGGCAGGCTTTTGCAGATTCCCAGGGGCTACAAAGGCAAAATTCCAAATTCAAGGACGGGTAGAACTGGAAAATACTCCCAGGCCCTTAATTGCAACCCATAAGGGGTTTTTAATCAGCCAAACCCAGCCTTCCAGAACATCCTAGCAAGATAACCTATGCTCTTGTAGAAAAACCAATAAAAACCAAATACAAGGAGAATATTTTAAGATTAACTGCAAAAGGAATTGTTACCTTCAAACACACAACAAAATTTACAGATGACTTCCCAACTGAAATGATGGAAGTCAGAAAGCAACGTAATACCTTCTAAGTGCATTATTTGTAATGCTGCCAATTCAGAATTCTATGCCTTTTGGAAATATCATTCAAAAGTAAAGGTCAAATAATTCATACTCAAAAAAAGAAACTAAAATAGTCACCAGCAGACTTACACTAAAGGAAGTATTAGAGTTATTTAAGAAAATTGAAAATGATCCTGAATGGAAGCGCAAAAATACTAGATGTGAAGGGATAATAATGTGCATATATTTAAAGAAATATTGATTGGATGCAGCAATAACCAAAATATCTTGTGAGGTGGTGAACACAAAAATAACTAAATCTATACAGCCATTATACTACAAAGTGTGAGGATAATAAATTTAAAGGGTTAGGCACACTTTTCACTGTCTTGGAATTGGTAAAAATACAAACACATCTCACGCTTTAAAAGAGCAAAGTTGCATATTTCAATCCCTAAAGATACTCCAAAAAGAACAGTAGGAGATAAGCTAATTATGGAAAGGAATAAAGTATTTTATTAATCCAAAAGTGGGCACAAAAGAAAAAGAAAATAGGACAGGTGAAGCAAATAAGATATAAGTGGTAAAATGATAGATTTACAG